AAGCCTAGCCTTAAAAATGCACAGGATAAACTAAAGTTTTTGAAACATGCAAAAAAAAAAAAAAAGAAGAGTGAGAAACAGTGAAAAACAGTTTCACATCACTCTACCTAAGTAGCTCCAATTATTTGCACTCCACAACTTGCTTTTTCTTACGACATATTGTACTACAACTCTTGTTTGACCCTAAGCTAGATGCTTGACAGATAGATCACAATTATTACGGTTGGAATAGGTCCCCACTCACTCCATGCAGTACAGTAATCATAAATCTAAATTAAACCCTAATACTGAATTTTGAGGATGTCACAATAATTAGCTCCTGTTTAGATTGGGTGTAGTTTTGACTGTCTAAATTATTCTATAACAACTCATTGGATGGAAGTTCTCTGGATCTCAAAGCTCTAGACAAAATGATGATAATGGTAATATACCCCAACAGGACTTCCACCGACAGCATAGCAGAAGAGGTGCAGTTGGTTTGCCAGCAGAGAGCGCCACTGTTACACTGTTAAAAACCTCTAACACAAAGTGGTGTTTTGGAGTTTTTCACATTTTTGTTCACATGAAAAAAGGAAGGAGAATTTTGTTAAAAGATTAGTTTATTTGATAATATTAAAAATATTAAATTATTTCTTAGCTATAGTTTCTCACAAAAAAAGGTACTTTTTCAACCTTTTTTTTAAGTAAAAATAAAAATATTTTATATCATTTCATGGGACAAAACTAAAAGTTTTGCATTTTTTTTTAAGTGTGTTATTCAAACTAACGACTTCTAATTTTTTTTTAGGTAGTATTACTGTAAATTTGCTTACCCCACCAACTAACTCAATGCATAGCGCACAGATAAACCCGAGGGAATAAATATACACCCCTTATTCAAATTCTCCAAATTGTGTCAAAAAGTGTACATATTTTTTGTTCCTAACATTTTTTTCCAACATACCGTTATTTGTAAGAAAAATTACATTGCTGTTGTTCAATGTCTCCCTCCTATCATGAATGAAGCTGTTGCAAAATTGTAGATCTTCATTTGTTGAAAGACTGTTTGATCCCAGATGTTTACAAGCAAC